AAATGGCAGGCTCCCAAGTACAGTACAACCTATATTCCGGATTGTTTGACACAATTGCCTATTGTTGCCAAGAAAAAAAGAGGGGATATGAAAATATTCCATACATTTCTCTGAAAGAGCCTTTTAGAAACCAGAGTCTATACAATTCTCCCTCCCCCTGTAAAAAGACATCCCCAGCTGCCCCAAATTTCAGCCTCCTACACCTTAGTAAAATCGCTTGTTCCGCTCCTGGCGTTTCTGGAAAACCACAGCCCCCACCACAGCACATACAATGATGCCAAGTAGAGAACATAGTAATAGTAAGAACACTTTCCAGCCTGTCAAGGGCCCACTACGAAAGTTTCCTGTTGGATCATCTACATTATCTGAAGAGAAAAAAAAACAAAAAGCTGAGTTATAGTACATATTACATCCTTCTGCTACATAAAGAATAATTTAATATAGATTAGCATAATTCTGGATTACGCAGATTACACAGAATAGCTGTCCTTTCTAGAGCTTGTGAAAACCTTCCCAAATTTCTTTGCAGAACAGCTAATAATCATTCGGTAATGAGGAGAAATAATCTGAAACAATTTTAAACGTTGCTTTCTAAGATTCTGGTCCAGCTAAGACACCATGGTGAGACTTCTTCAATGCAGCACACACAATTGCAGACAAAAGTATAGGCATTCATGGTCAAATTGTATATTTAAATAAATCTAAGTAAACAGGAACTGGTTCTATTGTACCAATGTCTATATGGTAAAAGTTATACAGAATATCTTCTTGCAAATCTGAATGCATATTTACTATTTATGAATATTTTCAAAAAATCAAATATGAAAACCTAAATATGGCAAGTGTAGATGTTTGACAGAGTGTCAAAAGCGGTAGGAGCGAAGTGGGCTCGCGTATGTGTGTGCCCACACCCATAATTCAATGCCCCCCGCATGCCATGCCCCCCCCGCACATGTGCACGCGATCTCCACCCTTGCTCCCCCTGCTTTTGGCACATGACAGCAAAAAGATTATCGATGGGCCCAGTAGACCCATTTTTCGCTCTCTCCAGGTTCCAGAGGCTTTCTCGGAGCCTGGTGAGGGCAAAAACGGCCTCCCCCCCGCCCGAGGCCCTTTGGAGGCCAGAAACAGCCCGTTTCCCGATGGGCCCGAAAGGCCAAAAATTAGCTGGCCGGCACGTGCATGCGCACTGGAGCTGAGCTAGGGCAACGCTCACATGCCCACAGATATGGCTCCACGTGCCACCTGTGGCACATGTGCCATAGGTTCGCCATCATGGGTCTTTAGCTTTAAAAGTGAAGTACTTTTAGGAAAATCGATGTTTGCTCCTGTGGGAAACTGATCTCCCATTTGCTTCATTGAACATTGAGGACCCAGTTTGTGGGGGCAAACTGACTTTGTATAAAAAATATACAAAAGTATGAAGGCTATTGCTTAACGCACTGTAAGCCGCCCTGAGTCTCCGGAGAAGGGCGGCATATAAATCAAATTAAAAAAAAAAAAAATCAGGGTAGAAGCATTAGTAAATCACCTTTGGGTGATTTGAAAAGACTGACGCTGGGCTCAATCTTTGTCCAGTCAATGTTTTCGTCCTCTGGGGAATGTTCCACCATCAACTGAAATAGCTTCATTGAAATGATATCATGATTATCTGGAAAAGAAACCAAGTTATAGTCACTGTACAGCTGATTAAAATTAAAATTCAATGACAGAAGGTTTCTTATTTTATAAAACTTCTTGTAAGTTTTCAGCAATTCAGGTAACTGACAAGTTGTGAATACTAATTCACGTGATAATTCAGGTATAAGTCCTTGACTTACAACTATTTGTTCAGTTACAACGGCACTGAAAAAATTGATTTACAACTGGTCCTTGCATTTCCAACCACTGCACTATCCCTGTAATCAATTTTATGTAATCAAAATTCAGGCACTGGTGTGTGTGTATTCTGGGATCATGTGATCACCATTTATGATCTTCCTGGATAGCTTCCGACAAGCAAAATCAGTGGGGAAGTTGAATTCTCTTAACTAGATGATTCGCCTAACATTTGCAATGATTAGTTTAACAATCATGGCAAAATTGCCATAAAATCGGGTGCAACTTCTTTATAATCCACTTGCTTAACCCCCATAAATTCTGGTCCTAATTGTGGTAGTAAATCATGGATTACCTGTATCTTGTGCACTTTACCAAACGCTCTCTCTACTTTATGTGAAATAACACATGCAAATAGCACAGTCACTTTAACTATCTACCAGGTATTTCTCACCAGATAGATCTCCTGTACCAGCAGAAGCCCCAAAGAAATAGCCAGTGGGTAATCGAACTCCTGCAACATCAAAGCAGTTTTTCCATTCATTTTTATCCTCTACGTCAGTCATCACCTGCAACATAAAAGTCATCTTCCACATTAAAGACAACCTAGCTTTCACACTTCTCAGACAGTTGAACAATCCTATGGAAATGTATTAGAATGTCAATTCTGAAATATATAAATTGGTAAATTCAAAACTACATTATCAGGATTATTATATTCATGTTCACTTTTTACGTTTCATTGACTAGAGCTGTAGCAAACATGATGCAACTTATTCATTCTAAGTTAGTATGGAGCCTCCATGGACTTTCATCCGTTATTTGTGTAATGTGATAGAATGCCATGTAATTCACTTATGCATTTTGCACCCAGCACCTAAGATCAGGCTTACCGTCAGACGCCCCCGAGAATATCGGACAGCCAAAAAGGTGTCGTGGTTCTGATTACGAATGTCAGCTGTACATCCTGCCAGCTCCGTCCAGCGACCATCTTTACTATGGTCATAGGTCAGGGATCCATTGTTAACCATGGCAGAAATGTAAGGAAACACACGCTGCAGAATAAAATAAATTTGAATCAAACTTGTCTCTGTGATGCTCAAAACTCATACCCTAAATATTTTGAAATCTGTATGCATACAGAATCTCTACTTATATGGGATTGATCCTGCAGGAAAAGCAAAACCCAGTGTTAGCCTTCAAACAGAAGCCATTATCATTTACCTCAGTAGTTTCCTCATTGGGATAAGTATCCATGAAAATGGCCAATCCATGGAATTTGTCTTTACTGCCAAATACGGGTCCTGAGGGTGATAAAACAGAAAAATATGAATAAGGGATCCATGTGCTTTTAAAGAGCTAAAATCAACCAATCTTCAAACTGAACACTGATCAATTTAAACATTTTACATGAAGTCATTTTGGAGTGGATGGCATATAAATAGGTATAATGAGCAAACAAATAATGCTTGCTAGCCAGAACAAATGTTACCCATGTAACAAAGCCATTCCAATGGGAGATTCTGGAGATTATCAGTCAACATTCCATCAGTAGATAACCTACTATTTCATGGCATAAGACCAGGTTATTTGTGGGACTGCCTTTCCCTGATTGTTTCTACTTTGCCTATTAGATCTGGAAGGAGAAGCATGTTGCAGGTCCTGTTAAAAATGACATCTTGAGGGACCCACAAAGTAGACATTTTTGGTTATTGCCCCTGCCCTACAGAAAACTATTTCCCCTGAGATGAGAATGACTTTGACTCTTTCAGCCTTTTAGACATTGATATATTTCTAGGTATGATGGTTAAAATGCTAGTTGTTATGTACCTATTGTTTCAACTAGAGTATGTTCTGCCAGGCTGATTGCAACAACTGAAAAAAAAAATCTATTTACCTGTATTAAAAGTCCCAAACCCATGATAGTGGGATATATTCTAAATTATTAGGCTGACCACAGTACCTGCAGTAAGGCGCTCCTGAATGTACCACAGGGCAAAACCATCTCCATGGAGATTCTTCTTCCCTGCCCCATGAATTTTAAAATGGACATGAAGTTCCCAATCCTTCAGAAAACAGGGCTAGAAGACAAAATAGAACAACCCCAAAGAGCTTTTCAGGAAATTCAACATGGAAACCATGCAGGCTGCAAATTACATCTAAGCAATATCCCTCAGAGTCTCACCCCATCCTTTCCATTTAGAAATAACACTCACCACCCGGTTCCAGATAGAACCTTCCTTGCTGCGCTCATCAGGGGTCAGTCGAACATACTGGCTAGTCAACATTGTACTCCCTTGGAAATCCCAGAGAGGCATTGAACTGGAGCCAACCCCTAAAACAGAGGATACTACAGAAATAATGAACTGTGGCGCACATTATTATTATTTTGTTATTAGGGGACATTTGATGTTATAAGCGAGCCGTAGGCAGGTAACAGATTATCTGAACTAGGTTTGATTTCCTCAGAAGTGGGAATTGTGTTCTTTGCATTTCTCCTTCTGCTACTGTTCTGTGGAGTTCTTAGGACAGAAACGGAATCTCATTTATTGCCACCAGGATTTTCTTCTTAACTGGTGAAATTCATGCACTTTTTAAATACATAAAACAGTGTCACCTGCTATTCATAATCATCATCATTATTGGTGGGTAAATCTGCTTAGGGCCAAAAAGGTTCGTGAAGTTTTACGGGCTAGGTACCCCCGAGGAGATGTGTGTGAACGGGCAGTGCTCCCCAGAAGCCTTTCGGTTTTCCTCCCCCTTCATGAAGGGGCAAAACCAAGCCCAGCCCTTGGGATCCACACAGACGAGCCTTTAACACAGGAGAGGTCGGCCACCGACGGGCTCAAGCGGGAGCGCGGGAGAGGAGGGAGCAGACAGACGGGTCAGCAGGGTGGCAGCCATGCCCTGCCCTCCCCACGCACCCTGATAAGGCTTGATAAGCGAGTGTTCCCGTTTTAGATGCTCGTTGTTGCCATCTGTGAGCTCCGCGGCTCCTGGAGGCGCGGTCCCGGCCAAGAGGAGCGGAAGAAACAGCAGGGGTGACAGCACCATGCTGGTCGCCAACCCCCGCAGGCACCAACTCCCGGACGCTCTACCCTCCTATTTCCCTCTGCGCGTCTTCCTCCTTCCGGTTGACCCCTAGCCCGGAAGTAAAGGCGACGCCCGCGAATTTGTTATCTCCACGCCACCTTCTCCCTGGGCGGTTACGAGATAGGAAAAAGAAGGAGGGGCGGACACGCCCCTTCTTCCGGTGTTTTGCCTTCGTGCTGCGTGTACCGCGCGTGTCGGCATCTCAGTGGACGGAGTGAGGGCGGAGGACAATTCAGCCCGCCTCGTTTACGTTGGGTCTTCCCTGGACTTTCCTGTTTGGGTAAGCAGCGCATCCTGGTATTTACATGCCAATTCCTGGTATTGGAGAACGTTCCGGGGGTTGAAAGCCTTGCTGTGCCTTTCGTAGATGGGGTTAAAAACGGCAAGCTGCGTTGTAAATTTTTAAGCCCATTATCTTTGGAAGCGATTATAATCCTCTTTCATTTCGAAGTGACATTTCGAAGTGCCGTGCAAATCCCTTCGGTAGTGGGGCGGGGAGGACTATATAATATCGTTACAGTATGAGATATTCGGAAAAAAACCTCAGTGCATCTGAATAGCTTTTTTTTTTTTAAAAAAAAACCCATTGAAATCTGAACTTTTATTTAGTTCACTTTTGATAAATACGTATAAAATGATATTGTGAAATTGTTGCTGAGTTTTGGGAGGTTTTCCAACTACTTTTTTATATGCGTTAAAAAAAGACCTTTAACATTTGCTTGTTGGAAAGTTTTTAAGGAACACAATTTAAATAAGTACTATATGCCCATTTTAAATAAACAGCAGTGGCATGGAAGAATGTGGATATTTTAGACTTTTTTATTTACAGGGAGAGAAAAATGTCCATAGACTGTAATTTTCCAAGGTTTTAAAGGTTGTTTTTATTTTTAAAAAAGTTGTTTATTGGCATAAATACAGCAGTAACTACATCCACAGATCCAATAAGAGGTTTTTATTGCCTGATCCTATATCAATTTACTGTCATTAAATTATAGATTTAGAGAGGGCAGGGGAGAGGCACAGGTTAGAATCAGACGGAGTATTATTTGGGGCCAAGGGGCAGGGAGAGAATTGTAAATAAGGCAAGTAAGTAGATAAGTTAATTCATACATAGAATTTATTATTCAATTTTATCTTGTGTGTTTATACCAAACCATAATGTCTGGCCTGAGAAGATTACAGTAGCAGAACAGACATTTTAACTGAGGTCTCCTGAGTTAAAATCTATCACTCTATTTTAAAAAGAAGCATTAGGTTTACCTTTTGTGGCTTTCTACATATTACAGCAAAAAGGCCACCTCAGTATTAAGTGCTAGAAGTGCTGCTACAGAGCAGAAAAATAATAGCAAGGTAGCACTTACTTACATACTGTTTCACAGTGTTTTACAGTCCTTTCTAACCAGTTTACAGAGTCTGCATATTGCCCCCAACAATTTTGGTCCTCATTTTACCGACCTCTGATAAATGGCAGGCTGAGTCAACCTTGAGCTGTTCAGAATCGAACTTCTGGAGTGAGCAGTGAGTTAATCCTGCATTCTAACCACTATGCACCATGGCTCTTAATCTGTCTGTTCCCTTCCTTATTCAGCCTTTAACAACTTTCTGGGTTCTTTTTAACATACTAGACTAGATTCTGCCTCAGCACACACTTCTCCAATGTAAAGGTGTCTGTTGTGTGTGTTTTGGTTTATAATTTGTGTATTATGGCTTGGTGTATGCTGATTGATTTTCACCAGGTTTTAGGACATTCTGGGTTTTGTTTGTCCCTAAATAAACATGTAGATGGACTTCCTCTAAGGCAGACATGTCAAATTCAACTCATTCCTCTCCACCAGGGAACATTGCAGCAGCAGCTTCCGGAGCCAACACCCGCAGCGGTCATCTGTCAAATTGGAAAGCAGCTCCCACACTAGCAGCCTCGCACTGGGAACTCCATCTCCTCCCTGTCGGAACAGCTCCCCTTATACCCCAGAAGATCCAGACTCACAGCATCCTACTGAGTCTTCAGAGTGGATACCTAGAGCACTCACAACTGCTCGCCTCACGCAGCACCTGGGACTTTGACCTTTCTGTGCAGTCTCATACTCCATATATACAACATTGGTGAAAAAGACCTGCGTGCCTATACTGATATTTAAACCCCCCAAAATGGCCAAACGGAAAGTGGACTTTGAAAACAGATGCTTCCAAAAGAGGTGGGAGGCAGAATACCTGTTTGCTGACATTGATGGTAAGGCCATGTGCCTTGTTTGCGGAGCTCATGTGGCTGTACTTAAAAAATATAACATGAGACGGCACTATGAGACGAAACATGAGGACAAGTACAAACACATGGACATCCAGCAGAAGCTAAAGAAGGTGGAAGAGTTTAAAAAGAGTCTGATGATAAAGCAACGTATGTCCAGAAAAGCAAAATCACAAAGTGAGGCTGCTGTGAAAGCTAGTTTTATAGTGACAGAAGAGATAGCTAAATCAGGCCGGCCATTTACAGAGGGGGAGTTTTTGAAGCGCTGTATGATTAAAGTGTGTGAAGTCTTGTGTCCAGACCAAAAGCAAGCATTTTTGAATGTAAGCCTCAGCAGAAATACTGTGGCTGATCAGATATGTGAGCTTGCCACTGATTTACAAGTACAGTTATTTGAAAAAGGAAAAGATTTCATTGCATATTCCCTTGCTGTGGATAAGAGCACTGACATCACTGGCATGGCACAGCTGACAGTCTTCATCCGTGGAGTGGACTCAAGTTTATGCGTTACAGAGGAACTTCTGGATATGAGATCAATGCATGGCACTATCACAGGAAAAGACATATTTGAAGCAGTATCTAAATGTGTAAATGACATGAAACTGCCCTGGGACAAACTTACGGGACTGACAACAGATGGAGCACCTTTGATGTGCGGGGAAGAGAGTGGATTAGTGGGAAGGATGCGAGAGAAGATGAAGAGTGAGAATTGTATAGGTGAGCTGATAGTATATCACAGCATCATACACCAGGAAACACTATGTGGCAAAGCCCTGAAAATGGAACATGTAATGAACACTGTAACACAGATAGTTAACTTTATAAGAGCCAAAGGTTTAAATCACTGTCAATTTAAGTCTTTTCTGGAGGAAATATATTTTGAACTTGGTGATCTGCCCTATCACACAGAGGTGCGATGGATATGTCATGAAAAAGTGCTCAGTAGATTTTTTGAGTTGCGTGAGGAGATCTGTCGGTTCATGGAAAGTAAAGGAAAAGACTCCACAGTACTGCAGGATGAAGAGTGGCTGTGTGAGTTAGCTTTTCTGTGCGACATAACTAAGCATCTCACTGCGCTAAACTTTCAGCTTCAGGGACGGCACCATGTGATCACGGACATGTATGATGCAGTGAATGCCTTTCAGGTTAAGCTGCAACTGTGGGACATTCAGATGCAGCAAGGAAACTTGGGTCACTTTCCCTGTTGCCAAACAATCATAAACCAAGTCTCCACTGCTGTGTTCTCACATACTTATTTTGGTGACAAGCTCAACACACTTCACATGGAGTTTACCCGTCGCTTTGTTAAATTTGAAGGACAAAAATTCAATTTTGAACTGCTCAGTAATCCATTTGCAGTTGACGTGGAGAAAGCACCTGTAAATATCCAGATGGAGCTGATAGAACTCCAATGTAGCAGCACACTTAAGGCAAAGTATGATTCTGTAGGGCCCATACGGTTCAGCAGGTTCATCCCTGAAACGATGCCCCAACTCCGCCTACAAGCTGCTCAAATGCTCTGCATGTTTGGTAGTACATATGTCTGTGAGCATGTTTTCTCTGTGATAAAGGTGAACAAAAGCGTACACAGAAGTCTTCTCACTGATGAACATCTCCACTCTGTCCTGAGAGTTTCCACAGCTCAGAACCTATCCTCAAACATAGATGAACTTGTAAGCAAAAAAATATGCCAAACATCTGGCTCGGACAAAACAGAGAAAGAGAACTAAATAGCTTATGCTTTTTCTTTGTTGTTGCAGATTTATTTGAAGTATTTGAATTGAATGTTAATCTTGTTTGGTCTACATTTTAGACATAATGCACTCCTGAACTAATATGATACATTGTCTTACATGCAACTGGCCCTTTGAGGGCAACCATAATGCTGATACGGCCCTCAATGAAATTGAGTTTGACAACCCCTGCTCTAATGTATGCATCCACCTACCCAGCACATGCATGCATGCACACCAATCTGAAGTCCTTCAACAGACTGCTTGTATTTGCCATGATCAGTCCTACAATCTTAAGCCTTCTATGAAGCACTTCAGGTGCAAGGGCAAAACGTGTTTTCTATGTTCAATTCCTTAATGTAGCTGCATATGGTAAAAGGAATTGAGGCAAGTGCTTTATGGGTGCCCTTATAGACACTGTTATTTCCCAACCTCAGCAACTATAAGATGTGTAGGCTTTATATCCCAGAATTTCCCAGCCAGTAGAGGAATAATATCCTGCTGCAGAGAAGGATAATTTTAAATCCTGTTTATTAGCAAATATCAATAAAGGGACCCCATTACAAGATTCTCCTTTACTATCAGTTTTGATAACTTCTATCAAAAGAAGAAAGTTCTGGAATATGACAGCACTGGAGGATAATGGGTTCCTGGTAGCTTCATGTTTGATTCTTCTCAAATCTTTGGCAGTTAATGTGCATCTTTTTTTCTCATCACATTTCTTGCGACCCTGTTGACTATTTGCATCAAAACATTTGATGGTTCTGTGATCATGCCCCAATATCTTAGCAATTTCAAGAGTGCTGCATTTTTGCCTGTGAAAATATTTACAGACCCCTTGCATCCTGGACATAAACTGTTTTAACTCCTATCCTCAAAACGATGCTATAGAGCACTGCACACCAGAACAACTAGACACAAGAACAGTTTTTTCTCGAACGCTATCACTCTGCTAAACAAATAATTCCCTCAACACTGTCAAACTAGTTACTAAGTCTGCATTACTATTAATCTTCTCATCGTTCCCATCACCCATCTCCTCCCACTTACGACTGTATGACTGTAACTTTGTTGCTGGTATCCTTAAGATTTATATTGACTGTTTCCCTATGACTTATCATTAAGTGTTGTACCTTATGATTCTTGATGAATGTATCTTTTATGTGCACCGAGAGTGTATGTACCAAAACAAATTCTTTGTCCAATGACACTTGGCCAATAAAGAATTCTCTTCTCTTCTCTTCTCTTCTCTTCTCTTCTCTTCTCTTCTCTTCTCTTCTCTTCTCTTCTCTTCTCTTCTCTTCTCTCTTTTTTGACCCATTTTACCTGAAGAAAAGGAGCTGCCTAATAATTATGCACACCTTGATATAGGGTGTTGCTCGCCTTAGGCCACACCCTCCCCATTACACAAATACACATTACCTGATATACACTTACACGGTGTAGTAATAATAAAAATTGTTTCCAGCTCTCTATTATCCTCTTCAATCTTTCCTTTTCTTGCTAGCTCCTGCTGATATGTTTTAATTAAAGTCTTTATTAAAGGCTCTTTAAGACATTCAACCTCTTAAAATTTGTTTTCTTTGAAAGAAAAGGGCAAATGTCCTATTACAGCTAGAGTGATTGTGAAAAATATGTCTGCTGTCATTGATTGTGCACTGTATCATTTTACTGAGATAAGACAAATGATGCTTGTTAGCAGTACTGTACTAAAAATAATCTTTAAAATAGAATCCCTTATAACTAAGCCAATATAACTAGATCATAAAAGAACATAACTTGCAACATTATATTATGCAGGTTTACATGAAATGTATCCCACAGCTTTCAGTGAAATTTACTGTGCAATCTTACATATTACTGTTAAAAGAGTTACTAAATTCAAGCGGGCTTACTTCCAGTTAAGTGTACCTAAGAGCTTTCTCTTGCTTGCTGTTCTCCAAGTGTGGTTGTATTGCAACTACAATTCTTCTCTCATAGCATGACCAATTGAGTTGACTGGGATGTTAAGTCCATTACCTCTGGAGATCGTTAATGTTGATGAAATCTTCTATATTGGTCTGTTCATAAAGAGTTTAGGTTTAAATTATATTACATAGAAAATCATCATCAACCACCTGGTGGCTTGTTAGGTAAGGAATGATTTCTCCCTACAGAGCCAATTGAAACAGAAGCGTCAGGAAAGAGATCTTTCCCTCCTTTTCCTATTGCTCTGTTTCCAGTTGCCCTACTTAGCAGCAGCTGTTTCTGATCAAAATGGAACATTAGGCTGTTGCTTATGTGGTTCTGCTTACAATAAAAACAACCTTAACTTTTACTTCTCAAAAAAGTGTTAAGAGAAAATGATTTCCAGTGGAAAAGTGATGCTGTTGTGAACAGACATTCTTCACTACCATTGAGGCAGCTTTGAATGGACATTTTGTATTTTGATGTGAGAATCTGAATAGCTTGCACTTTCATCAGATTTTTAAATTGGATACATTTACTGCTCCATGCCAATGTCCTAGATCCTCCCTCAAATTATTTGCATAGAGCTTTGATGACCCTGTGTATTGGTCAAGGATTTCCTGTTGGTCTGAAGAAAGAATAACCGAAAGGACCATGTTTTGCTTGTTAGAATCTTATTTGCAGTCTGCTATTTTAACACAATTTATTTTTGATCCTTTAGTAGTAAACTTTTTGCTTTAATACTATATGAAGGTTATAATGCTGACAACCCCTATTGCCTCACACTTAAAGTTTAGGTTTAGGTTGATCCAGCACAAGAATAGACTAATGACCCATTTCTCAAGGGAAGATGTTCACAACATTTTATCACCACGATGATGCTGGGTGATGCTAAACAATGTTCTTGCAAAAATGAACCTTTGATTCAAATGCTGCTTTACATATTTTTTCCTAGCTAAGTTCTTTCTTAGACTATGATCGTACCTGAGATAGCCATTGGAAAGGCATTCTCTGCCCTTTTTTTGCCACATAACACCAAGTGTTTTCTGACTTGCATTGGCTCAAGCAATGCTATCCAGCTTACATGTTGCCATTTATTTCATAGTAGATACACACTTTCACTATAGTTGTCTACTGTGTACTGTGGCAAGAATGCCCTCTAATTACTCATGTTTTCAACATTTTAGTTGAAAATCTAGATTTACTAGGAGTAAATCTTCCCATTCCTTAGTACCTGCTTGTTCTACTTACCTGGAATAGAATCTCACAACTTTTCACAATTGAAGACAAATTGATCTCTATCCAATTGCTTTGATTATTGTTTTCAGAGACAGAGATGGAAAGGAACTTAATCGTAAAAGTAAAAAAAATGGTGGGATCTATATCTGGAGATTGATACTACAATGGGTGTAATTGGGCAACATTTGCGGATTCTGAGAATATTCATACATCTTATATGTCTTGAAAAATGCAAAGCTTCAGAGAGAGCTCCAGTGCCCTAGAATGAAGTTCCAGCATAAGCTAATGGCGTATGTAGAAAAAACAGTATCAAGGTTTTACAAATGAAATGGCAACAAATTGAATAGTGAATTTTTTAAACTTGCATAATTTCTATAAAGAGAAATCAACCTGGTCTCACCACCTGCCCAATGGAAAGTCATGCCTCTTCACTGATAATGTGTAAGGTTAGGTGGCATCCTTTTGGGTCCCCCCCCCCCCGGCAAGAGATGCAAGTGTCAAACAATGAATGGTGTTAAGGCTACCTAACCAACAACACTGGTAGTTTTTAAGAAGATGGGAATTCTTTCTGAAATTCAGTAGGTACAATTTCTGAAGTTTACAATCATGTCAGTAACGAAAGACTCTGCTACTCAAAACTATGGAAAAAAAAGAATAGGTTTATTTAATATTTTTACCTTAACTATTGGAATAGTTCTGAGTTATGAAAAGGAACCAAGAAATGTAATCATTAATACAATTTGACTGAATAGCACCAGTATTTATGAACATGAATTTTTTTTCTTAGTGGGTAGTTTTTAGTTTGTCACAAAGACTATGTAATGTTCCCTGAAAACTCCACCACAGTTAGCTCAGTTCTCAAAATAATCCAAATGGAAACTTCCCAATAAGGACATGCCACTGAATGCCAGAATGCTGGTCTCAAAAATTAATAGTTCCCAAACAAGAACATGATCCTGATATCATGGAAAGTGTGTCTTAAACTTATGAGATACCATGGAAAGCAGGGCAGATGTCAAAGGTAAACAGACTACCAACAGAGCCAACAGAGTGTTATTTCAGTGCTGGGTGGAAATTTGCATTGTAATAAAATACAGTTAAAAGCCATAGAATAATATTTCAAATGGATAGACTCATCCATCATAGTTCCAATCTAAAGTAATAGCCATTGGTTTCCCATCATGCTTGTATATATTATTATGAATAACTCACAGAAAATATGACTTCAGCAACAGTGGTCAATGCCTGGAATGCAGTACCTGTCTCTGTGGTTTCATCCCCAAACCCTCAAAATTTTAACCTTAGACTGTCTACTGTTGACCTCACCCCATTCCTAAGAGGTCTGTAAGGGGCGTGCATAAGAGCACCAGCGTGCCTACCATCCTAATGTTTCCTCTATTTGTATCTATTTTATGTATTCAATTCATGCTTATACTTATATATATTACCTAATATGTTCTTGACAAATAAATAAAATAAATAAATAAAATAAAATAAATTACTAGTAAAGGTGCTTGTATGCTAATTTGAAGAAAATAGTTTTCTTACATAGAAAACAGAGTATATCTAAGGATGGGAAATACAATACCTCTGTGAAAGCAAAGCAGATCATAGAAGGAGTTTTCCCTAGATACTTTTTTATAGCAAATATCTAATAGTACAGGAACACTTACCAGCACTAAACATTCTGATTATGCAGTGCCAGTTTATAGCATCACTCAAGCTAACATTAACAAAGGCAGGCTTTCCATCACTATAGTGTGCTGGACGATGCTAAACTATATTCTTGCAAAAATGGCTCTTCAATTCAAGTGCTACTTTACACATTTTTCCCTTGCTAGGCTCAACAATTTCTTAGAATATGAACATAAATCTGAGATGTCTTGGTGACATGGCTACGTACAACAAATTGTACTGCCTAAGAATACCTAATCATGCTATGTTTGGTTCTTTGAAGTTCCTCCCTCAGTCTTGACGAATGTACAAATTGTTCTTTGCCTTTAAGTTCAGATTTTATGTTGGAGAACATAGTCATGGGCAAAATTCCATAGTAATTGTCCACCTCACAATATCCACACAACTTTTTCATGTACTTATTTAGCTTGGTTTGTTTTCTTTACAAAGATTGGTTTTTCAGAAATAATCTATTTTCTGTGTATATAGTAAAGACAGGGTAAGAAAGAGAGAGAGAGAGAGAAAATAAGGGGCTAAGAAAGGGCAAGAAACATTGCATAGACACAATCTGAAACCCTGTCCCAGGCATTAAGTAGGCTTACATTTCTTTTAATAGTTGTCTGTGCATTTAGAATTGGCAATCTGTGGGTTTTTTTAAAAAATTCACAGAATCAAAACAAATCAAATCAAAGTGACCTCAAAAGAGCAGGCACATACATATAAATATCTTGGAGTGCAATTCCAAGCTACCTTATCATGGCATATACAGTCATCCTGTGCCAATATGACATTCCCAATAAATTCATTCTTTGAGGAAACTCTGGGCCTCAGAGTTTTGATTGCTTTGGGTCAGTGGTGAAATGTAAAATTTGTTACTACCGGTTCTGTGGGTGTGGCTTGGTGGGGGGGTGTAATGTGACTGGGTGGGTGTGGCCAACTTTTTTTTTTTTTTTTTACTTTTAAAAGCATTTTTTCTACAACCTTAAAAGTTTGCAGAAAAAAATGCTTTTAAAAGCGTCTGACAATCAGGCAACTCAGCTGGGATCGTCAGAGACTTTTAAAGGCATTTTTTTTCCCTACAACATCTTTGGCTGAAGAGGTTGCAGAAAAAATGCTTTTAAAAGTCTCTGACGATCCCAGTTGAGCCGCGCAATCATCAGAGGCTTTCTTTTTTTCCTTTTAAAAGCATTTTTTCGGCCAAAGAGGTTGTAGAAAAAATGCTTTTAAAAGTAAAAAAGAAAAAGCCTCTGATGATCGCGTAGCTCAGCTGGGCATGGGTGGGGGCAGGGATTTTTGCTACCGGTTCTCCGAACCACCCGCCGCCATCGCTACCAAACCAGGAGCATTTCACCCCTGCTTTGGTTCTGTTACTTGGAACTCTGACACATACATTTATTGACCAAGTGTGGTCTTTCTCCTTAATTTCTGTTGAACTTGATTTTCTTATCCTGTGGGTTTGCTCCCAGTGGTGCTCTAAAGATCATTTAAAATCAACCTGGCTAACAAAAGCTAATAGCAAACTCTAGTCCTTAGGACTCTCTTTGGAAAGTCTCTGTCCATTAATATTTTAAAATGCCAGGAGTCATTTTAAACAACATATCTGGGACATTGATTTTCAAAACAGTTTTAAGTCCAGTATCTCACTCTACAGTTAATGTATTCCTCTTAAATGTGCAAGTGCCATCATCTTGATCTCTTTTCCA